CAAGAAATAACAAGCAGCGAACATTTATACTGTAGCGTGGCTATGACTTTCGTATCCACCAACAAACGTCCATATTTCAGCGATAATGTATGGGCTATACATTGCGTTCGTTGGTCAATTTGGAATCTGTGCCGTTCTGTCGGATACGCATATCTTTTACATTTACTGCAATCTAACAGTGAACCAACCAACACCTGTCAGTTTTATATACAGACAGATTGTTTCGCAGTATCATTATATACTGCCAAATCATGTATTGTTAATAAACAGCTGTTATGTATCCTGGTCAGTTATAAAATGACGGCCAGCAGAGACTAAATTAGTGGTACGTAGCTTAGCAAAGAGAGAACAGGATGCGCCCGAAACCAAGGCCGGAAGCGCTGTCGTCAGTAAACATTCCTTGTTCTTTACCTGGAGGTGTAAAGTCGTTTGACAGACTAGGTGTCGGAGGTTCGTTACTGAAACCTATCCTGAGCCAGTTCAACCCACTTCACATCAATCCGACCAGTTTTAATATCTTTTCCTTCCACTTACATCCATGTATCGGTCTACCTTTAGGTTTTCCAACCACGATCTTGCGCATTTTCGCTCCATCATATGTTCTACATGCCCCAACTTCTGTGTAGATTCCCAGGCGGAACAATATGCCTATGTCTCCCAGGGCCTAGAATCGAAGCCCTGCTTAATTTTTCTTTGGATCCAGCACTTCGCTCTCTGACATCCTCAATGTCTAAGCACCGCCTAGTCACGTAACATTTCTGAAGTTCCAACACCTGGATCCATCCAACCAAGACAAGACACGTCATTTGCTGTAGAGACAGGAAACCGCGCATTAGACGAACAGGTACTCCACTAATTAACTGTGTCGATAGCTGCTTTGCGCATCAACACCTCCGAAAGTCAAGAAGATTTTTAATGCATTCTTTACAGCTTGGCATTTATCTTCTGCTTTCCATGCTCATTTATCGCAGACAAAAACCTATTGCTGACATCTTATCAACAATATAGTATTTTCTAATTGTTCAGTTGGTCAAGAACTTCCTCGCTTTTTATGGAACTCAAATACCAGACCTCGGTGATCCAGTTGTTAGCAAACTAGCCTAGTTTTCAAAGCATTCTGTGTTCGATCCCAACAGCTGCCAGTCGGAGGAGATTTTATCAAGATACCAGCAAGCATAAAACATGCTTTTAGTGCTGCCTTTACAACCTATAGGTATAACGAACACATTTCAAACTAGGGCCCATCCAAAAGGCTGCGCGTGTGGTAAACACAATTGGTCACTTATCTCCATAATTATAATACCGAAGACAACACTGCGTGGACCTTTACCTCTTACATGCATTCAAAGTGTGCTGTGAAAACACAGGGACAGGTTTTGAGTTATGGAGCGGGAAAAAAACCAAGGCCACATGGCAACAGCTGTCTTGTACTCCACACAGCAGTGATTCTACAGTGTGTAATGCTGCAAGTAAGTTACACATATCCAGGAATTCATAAGCCAGTGTTGAAACTATTCTGTCTGTATTGTGTCAACGTTTACTTAGCGCCGCTGCAAATTTTATATGGGATCGAATTGCGTAAATGAGAATTCATGTCGGATTTGATGTATTCACGACGGTGAGTACGAAGATGGCTGTCTTCTGTGTTAACGCCATGTAGTCCGATAGAAGTTTTACCTACGTTGCAAAGGTCTTTGCTGCCCCCATCGGAGGTAGCAAGGACAGCCATCTTCGATAATTCATGTGTTGCAATGAGTAGCAACAAGTGGTGGTGGCTTACTTTACGAAAGAAATGGAGGAAAACGGTCCCCAAGAAAATCCACACCGGCCCGCAGCCCAGTGGTAATTACATTACGTACCATGTTTTAACACCAGTAACGTTGCTTACTGCATTTCTTTAAACAGCGTTAACAATTTGTTCTTTGAAATGGAGAAATGTGGTGTTTCCTTTGAAGTACTGCCTGAATTGTTAAATATTAAGTTATTGTTAATTTTATCAGGTGTACTTTTCCCTATACAGTAGAATAGAGAAAGTCTATGTTCCAACGGTAATGGTCACATTATCATTTAGTGACCCCTAAACTTGAAAGAAAGTCTAGTTGTACCAACTTTAGATACGGTTCAAAGCTCTTGTACCTTCACCGGCAAGTGGTAACTATATCCTGTCCAAATCAATTATTAATAATGTTATCAGGTTCTCATTCGAACCTTTGGGTTCCATAAAAGCAGAGAATTTGTTTACTACCAGAGTGACTTCAAGGACTCTGCTCTGTGGAATTAGTTTAATGTTATACTCGTGTCATATCAAGCATGCTGTCACGGTGAATAAATAATAGTTATTCTAACATGCGGTCCAAATGAAAAAAAACAAACAGTTTCGGGCAGACATGGCGAAGCAAACAGGTGCATTTTTGCTACATCACTGCTAACGCATCTAAAACAAAAGTGTTGAAATTTACGCGGCAGATACATCGGTGATTGCATTCCTGAAATCACCGCTTCAATGAAGTAAATTACGCGTTGTGAGGGCTCTGATCCCATTTGTTAATCCAATGTTATTTTAACATTTAAGAGACATGATCTCCATCAACGCCACACCTTCGACTGTCATGTTCTCACTTAATGGCCGCGTAATCGTGTTGAAGTTAGGATTAAAGCGACATAAATGACACACATTTGGAAACAGACTTAAATCTAACATGCATGATAAATAGGGAAGTGGCTGTAGTTATGTACATTTGAATCTTTAGCTTCTTGGGTGGGAGGCGAGAATACAAGAAGATTTGGACCTGAAAGATTGCAAGCATTTGCTGAACATAATTTGCTGTTGAAAATTAACCACATAAGCTGTTGGGTCTGTACTGTATGTGGGGGCAGAATGAACAGTTATTACCACAGGCGTTGCCGTAAACAGTTTTTATGGCTTCGTTTTCAAATCTTTCTGGCAACGCCGTCAGGAGTTGTGTTTGGAAGGAACAAAGCATCTGGCAGGTAAAAGGAGACTGACTCAGACTGGGATATGCAGGCAATTTCCGGACCCAACACTTTCCTCACGTCTCCGCGTACAGACCACCACGAAGTTACCAGCATCGTTCATTTGCAACACCGAATTACACGAACATAAACACAGTATACACTTATCGATACAGTCTAATTATTTTATAAGAACGCACGGAGTTAAAGTTATAACTAAACTCGCGGAGAAGCCAGTAGTTGCTCAGCTAGCAAAGAAATTCTTTGCATTTTGTAGTGCCAGAAAGTTCATTACCGTGTCCATAAGAGTCCATCGGTTACTCCGGTTCACATTTCCCCCCTCCCCCGTTACCTCAAGATTCGTCGTAATATTATCGTCCCATATACACCCAGGTATCCCAAGCGGCCTCCTCAGAAGCACATTTTAAATAATCCCAGTTTTATACAGTTAAATTTTATACTTTTGACAGCGTATATGACATACGAAAGGTGATTATTCACATTTCAGACTCAAGTGACAAGCTTGTATGGATACATATGTACTTCAGTATAATCAGATATGTTACATCGATACACGTGTGATCGTATAAGGGGTGCAAAAAGGAGGATTTCAAAGAGGTTTTAAGATACTTATTTTAATACAAGGCAAGCAATTACAAGAATTTAAATAACCACTTAACATCTTCAGAGATTCAAACGTCTGTCATGAAGTGGGGCAAACTTTCCCATACCGGTTAAGTAAAACGTAGGATCCTTCCTATTTAAGTTTCTTACGGCAAGTTCCACATCAAAATCGTTTTAGAACTGTCTGCCCCCAGAGCATGGTCAAGACTCTACGATCATCATCCGTGGAGTCTTCGTCTGTTTGTGACAGC